TATGATTGTTGCGCATAATGGAAATAAATTTATCACTTTCACTACTGATTTTAAAATTATTCATATGAATTTCTGCTTTGTTAAATAAATGCTGTTTATGTGCCCTATATGCTGGGCAATTCATAACAAAGTGTTTTTCATCTTCAACTTTGTTTTGTACACATTGGTCACATATTCTAAAATATGTGTGTTTTGTAGCTTTAGTGACCTTACTGCTGATCTCTTTGTAAACACTTTTGTGTCTAATAAGTAAATAAATATACTTACTGTTTGACAATAGATTCTCTTTCAGCCATCATTTCATCATACTGCAAAAAAATTGTATTTATTTATTTTTAGCCACACTCACAAATGTAGAAATTACAGTGAAAATAATATTAGGAACCATGATTGCACGAAGTCAAACAGTTAACAAACGCACAGAGCATTAAAATAAGTGGTACCCCCGACCTTTGAGGTATAAATAAATAAATAATAATTGATTTACTTAATTTTGTTATAAAGTGTTCTTTATACCCATAGACCTACGAGCAGGTACAGGTGGTAAAGCCCGCCCATCTGCATCGTAACACGAAGGTCCGGGAAACTTGTACTGGATATAAAGACCAAGTACCCGAGTTTTTAGTTTGTTTTTATCTGTTGAACACAATGTCGCTGCAGTTTTTCCCGGAGGATCACATATTCCACTTACCTTTATCCTTTCCGTTTGTCGAAGTAATGCTTTCTTGAGACTTTTATTGTCTCCCATTGCTTCAAACCTATATGACGTTGCTTCGCTCATGTTTGACTCAGAGAAAAAACTTCGAACGGGACAGGCAAGATTATCAATAACAACGTTTCCAGCAGCTTGTAGGAAGTTACCTGTTTACCTCCACGTCTCCATGTCAATGCGTATATTAATAAAGTGCTTTAAATATATAATTTTACTGCATTGAGATTGGTATTAAAATTAAAATATCACGTCAATCTATATTGTTTATGTATATTTCTGTCAGTTTGAATGGATAATACCACTCAATTTATTCGAATTTGAAAGCAAATATGAGCGTATGAATACACCTGTATTTTACGACAAAGCGTCCATCCCGTTGCTACGAGTTATCTTGCCCTCTCTCGCGAAAGCCCGATGGCTTTCGTTTTTATCAAGGGCGCCCTCTGCCCCATGTGAGTAGCCATCAAATCAGCTGATGAGAGAAAACAACAGTGGGCGGACCTTGATTCCAGGGAAGTGGTTTGCAATGGATTTCAGACTATTTTTCACAACTTTGATAGTTCTTTTATTGAGACCTGTTTCACCAGAGCCTACACATATCGTCTTCATCCTGGCCGATGATTACGGCTTTCACGACATTGGTTACCACGACTCGATCATAAAAACACCTAATCTGGACAGACTGGCTAGCGAGGGCGTGAAGCTAGAAAACTATTACGTTCAGCCCATATGTACACCCACAAGAAGTCAACTAATGAGCGGCAGATATCAGGTATATATACAAACGAATCTAGAATTAAGCAGTTTATTCTTTGTATATTGGTCTTTTGCTAAAATGCATAGTCTGAACAAACCTGTAAAAATTGAAATTTCAAATTCTAGTATGAAATTCAAACACGACTTATGAGTTTCATTTGAATATGTTTCAGTGTTATTCAATCGGTCAATAGAAATCTCTTGTTTTAGTTTAGAATTGTGAAATGTATATATATTTATAAAGATGAAGGAAATGATTACTAGTTATAACAATTTATAGATAAATAGACAGATAGATATTTTATTTGACACAAAAATAAAACATATTTGAAGAAAACAGGCTCATAATGTTTTTTTAATAATTTATATGCATTCCCAATAGTTAAAAAAAAACTCTGATTGTGATTTATCATAAACTAAAAATAATACACATATACCATATATTGTTGTTATTTTTACACCAAAAAACAGTGCATATTTGTGTTAGAGAATGTCCATGTTTTATTGAATGAAAGATAAATTATGTCCTAATGTATCAACAAATCTAAAAATTATATTTTCATGATTATAATGCAATTTCAAATGAATTGATAAAACTACCAATGATCACAATACATATTGTAATATCCTAATGATGTAATATATTGCTGATTAGATTCACACAGGTTTACAACATGGCATAATCTGGCCTTGTCAACCAAGCTGTTTGCCAATCAATGAGGTAACCATACCACAGAAGCTAAAAGAATCTGGTTACGCCACACATATAGTAGGCAAATGGCATTTGGGAATGTATAAAAAAGAATGTCTTCCAACTGAAAGAGGATTTGATACTTTCTTCGGTAAGTCAAAGTAACAAGCACGACAGTCAAACGAACAGTATACGGAAGAAGCCTGTACCTTAATTTCTTTATAAATACATTTATTTAATTAAAACATTTGATTGGATGATGTTAACTAACTCATTAATATTCATTTATTCTCACTGTGTTGTCACAACACCATTGCTGGAGTGATATTTTTGAGTTTTTACTTTTTTTTTCAATTTTTTTTTCAGGTTATTTAACAGGAAGTGAAGACTATTACACGCACAACAGAAGTTACGATAAGTTCCACGGAATGGATTTTAGAGAGAACATGCAAATAGTACAACCACAATATAATGGACAGTATTCAACACATGTGTTTGCTGAGAAAGCAAAAAACATCATTAAAAGCCATGACCCTCAAATAGTGAGATTTGTCCATTGATTCTGAGATTTATTTGGAGCAGTGATTTAACCTTTTGGACGCTTGAATAAAAAATTTGTGAACTTTCACAAAATAAAGATCTGTACTAGATGGGAAATTAAGTCTATCTGGTTCAAAATTAATGATGAAATTACATAAAAAAGTGCTAAATGTTGTACTGAAATTGTTAGTAAAGGATGGACCTATATATTTTGATGGCGGGTGGTGGAAAAAGGGTGCTTTAACCAGGAAATCAAAATCTTGACAGAGAAAATAATTACCTCAGTCTAAGGCAGGACTTACATGCTCTAACATAACTAAATATAAAAAAATTATCTGTCTGAAAACTCTATTCGTTCACAGCAGACATAATGGTCTAATAATTTATGTTTCTATATTTTTTTTTTGCATTGCAGCCTTTATTTTTATACTTACCGTTCCAAGCAGTTCATGGTCCACTACAAGTGCCTGACCAGTACGAGAAGCCATATGCAAACATAACAAATAAACAGAGACGTACATATGCAGGAATGGTGTCTTGTATGGATGAAGCTGTTGGTAATATTACACAAACACTGAAAGATACAGGACTTTATGACAACTCAGTGATTATATTTTCAACAGGTGAGATGAATCAAATATCAACAATGTTTTTTTTCTCAGCGATTTACACAAACTTAGTAATTTATAGTAATATGAGGTTATTGCAAGGATATCGAGAAGTATGCACGAAGACAGCACAGTGTCGAGTATTGACAGACACGCATCAGAGGTCGATGCAATGGCGTACTGTCTAAGTGCATACTTTCGATATCCTCCCAATAACCTTATTATACATCTTTTCCTACCAAGGATACATCATTTGGAAAGCCGAAATCCAGAAAGTTTAGAACAGAATCAGCGAACTTCTTTGTGTGGAGTACGGTCAAACCCTGTTGGCAGCCATGTTGGTTTTTATTATTAGAGGACGCTTACGCACGTAATCATTCCATATTTGGAATTTTCCGTAAAATACCCCAAAATTACAGCACGCTGTAACTTATGGCGTTACGGTGACAAATGTATAATAATATAATATAATAATAATATAATTTATCCAAAAAATATAGTATATGATAGAAATCTGGGTTAATATGCTATTCAGACACTGAGTAAGATTAGGACATTTGGGAAAAGTTGAACGAACTACTGAAAAAGAATTATTTGCTGCAATATCTAGGAAGTTGTTGTATAATTGAATACAGAACATTAATTTCTGTCATTCTAATGACTAATTTTCAGTTGAAATTGAAAATATTATCATATGCATTGTTCAATATGATCACCATACTGCATCTAATAAAGCAAAATGTTTCTCATGATAACTTTATTATTAAACTTCTTCTCTGCTTGTTGTAATAATTAAGTGCACTGTTTGTTTGAAATGATTGTATCGTTGTCACATGCTGTATTTTTGCTGGTGTGAAGAAAGGGAAGTGTTCAACAATAACAGATATAAAGTGATTAACATTAGAAACACTTTCAAAAACATTTGTAACGCTAGTTGTAGCTAAAATATTTTGTTTATTCCTGCGAGGTGTAACCATTTGATTCTTTGTGTTTCTTGTACGTATCACATACTTATTGTAAGTATTATGTACGTATTACATACTCATTGTGCGTATTATGTACGTATTACATACTCATTGTACGTAATATGTACGTATTACAGACAATGGTGGTCAGGTAATAGCAGGTGGAAATAATTGGCCGTTACGCGGCTGGAAAGGGTCATTATGGGAAGGAGGGATGCATGGAGTAGGATTCGTCAATAGTCCACTGATTAATCATCAAGCTAGGGGAACCACATCTAAAGAGCTTATTCATGTCACTGATTGGTTTCCCACTATCGTGCACTTGGCTGGTGGGAGTGTGAATGGTACACAGCCATTGGATGGCTATAACCAATGGGAAACTATCAGGTACCATCTTTATTTTGCTAATCTGAGATAGAATGTCAAATGCTGAAAAAGTAACTTTATTAGTGGCTGAGCTAAGCTTTTGGAAATATATATATGTTAACGAAGAACATATTTATACTTTCGTACAATGTTTCTGACAAATACATGAAAAAGAATAATAATTCTATAAACTGCAAACTAAGGAGCAGGTATGATGACACTTGCAGATATATAGATATTAAGGTTTTAAAAATTACAAACAAAAGGCTCATTTTATATTGATGCATATTGGAAATATGAAAAAAAATAATCTACAAATCCACTACTGTTCCATTCACTTGCTAAGAATAAAACAAAAGCATCATAGACACTAACATAAAGGGCAGTATAACACCAAACAACATTGTTCATATTCTGTTTCAAAGCAATGGTAAGAAATCACCCAGAAAAGAATTGTTGCACAACATAGATCCCAATTATATAGCATTGCAGACATCCAACAACAATATGATATACAGAACAGACATGTTCAATGCTTCCATTCGAGCTGCCTTGAGAGTTGGTGATTGGAAGATACTGACAGGTGATCCAGGTGAGTGCTATATAACCTTTGATTGGTTAACTTTTAGTGAGTTTGTGATTTATCTATCACAGATGAGCCCGAACATCCCTGCCTTGCTGCAAAACCAACCATGCCAACTTAGATACTAATCCTTCACCTTTAAAATAGTCTGTGAAAAATATTCTCGCTCATCAAATTTACTTTGAATAAAGATGATGTTGTCATGGTAACCATCATATGTTGAATTGAAGATATAATACCACAACAATAAGGCGGTAAATATTAAATATTATGCTATTTTGTTTGTTAGGTAACAGCAGTTGGATTCCTCCGCCTGAGTCAAGTATTACTTCTCCGCATCCGACAGATATTCCTGGGAAAATTATCTGGTTGTTCAATATTGCCGAAGACCCAAACGAATATAAAGATCTCTCTCTATTCAGACCAGATAAGGTCAATGAACTTTTAGAAAAATTGCAGCAATATTACAAAACATCTGTGCCTGTGCGTTACCCTGACAACGACCCTGCCTGTGATCCTGGCAAGCACAGTGGTGCATGGGGGCCATGGCAATGATATCTTAATGTAGTTTGAATGTACATTTCCCAGTACTTTATGACTTGTAAAGAGGTCTTATCTAGAATACATGTGATGGTAAACTTTATTGGGACGTATTAGTGGTATTATATTTTCAACACATTATGCAAATCAAGAATACACATTTTTTTTAGATTTAAAAAAAACAAAACAGGCAGGGAATTGTGCTTTGTGTGTGTCATGTGATACATGCCATGGTCGCGTATTGGAAGGGCGCCCTCAACATGTTAGAAACTTTGTTATGTGCTTGGTTGTGGTTGTTACTGCACCAGATTCGCGACAGTCTTTAAAATATTTAGTGAAAACTAATATTGCCATTTTATCACTATATTAATTACTATAGCTCCATTAAAACAATATCATAGAACAGAACGAATAACTATATTATATGTACGGCAACAATATTTTTTGTAAAGTAAAATAAATTTGTTATAATAATTTTATCAAGTATATTTTCTTGACAATGATTAAAAGAAGTACCAGAACAGTGTGTCAATTACTGTAATGTTGCAATAGTTCAATCAATCAATCAAGTATCAAACAACCATGGCATCCCATAATTTCCTCTGCTAAATTTCCGAATCTCGTCGACATTCCCAGAGCCCGTGTCACGTTTTAACTGATCTTGATGGGGTGATCGTTTCCTTCTACTGACCACAGTATCAGCCTTGAAGCAAATCGGTCGTTAAATTGGATTAGGTGGTATGTTATCTTCTTTTTATTTATTTATGTTCGCTTGTTGGTAATACATTTCTAAGCATTCGTGTATAAGTTCCATTTAGGAATTGTTCAAGTTGTTTGGCTATAGCCCACGTTTCGCCTCTACACAGAAATAATTTGTTTAACAGTCTATGAAGTTTTTCTTTGTTTCATTGTTCTTGACTACTATATACTGCGTCTCGATGACATCTACTCGTTTCAGTAGTTTTTGTGCATCATTCATGGCAACAATTGAGATATATAATTCTCTTCAGAATATCGTTTGCTTTTCTTTGATTTTAACGTGTTGCCAACTTCATGCTTTAGCCAAGAGCGACGAGAAATGGTGCCAGTGCTTATCTGTGTCTCCTTGTAGAACACCAGTATTGATGTTTTTCCATCTATCGTAATTATTTTTGTCTATGTTTCTGTATACAGATTAGATTGTAGCATGTTGGGTGGTTTGCCATATGTTTTCAGGATTTTCAGCAACATTGTATCGAATGCTTTTTGAAGTCGCTGTAATCACTGTTGTTCTATTTTTGTATAGTACTTTGGTAATATTATCCATCGCTAATCTAGTATTTGTTCTGTATGGAATATTTCTGTTGTTGCATTGTTTTTTATTTTCTCCCATTCATACATTTCTTCTGTTTTTTCTGTACATAAGCTAAGTGTTATTCTTGCTGTTGGAATTCTGTTGTCTTACCTCGCGCTAGAAAGGCTGTTGTATCCCTCAACATCTGACATACTATTTTTCCATTTCTTTCTCATTAGAAGATATTCAATCTGACTTTCAACTCGGGCCTGCGCATGTCCTAAGTTTACCCATTTTTTTCTGAAAGTATGTGTTAGCTATAGTCAGGTTAAATATTTTAGTTATACATTGGAAACAACGTTGAGTTATATATACTTGATTCATTGATTCATGGACATATATGTATCAATAACACTTCGACAAATTCCACTGAGCATAGTTAAATATTTACGTTTACTATAGAAATGACATGACACAATGTTGAAACCGTATGTTGAGTATTTAAATATTCGACAGTGTTCTCGATCGGGGAAGATAATAAGATCTTTGAAATAAGATACCGATTATTTAAGTCGAGCCTTCTAGTGACGAAGCACTTCTGTGATGTGTGATCTGAAGTCATGACATGTTATAAAGGTAAATTCTCAAAGATTTCCTTTTGTTAGTTAGTACATCAACGATTTTTTCCTAACTGGCAGTGAAACTTACTCTATTGAGAACGTATACAAATGCCAAGGATTAATTGATTGATAGGACACCTAGAGCTAATCAAACGGTATGCAGTTAACCTTCTAATCATCTAGAAACCTATCAGTCTGTAACAAACTGTCATTAATATTTACAGAAAATTAGTGACCTCATTACTTTACTACTCCAATGAATCGCCCATTGTTACAGTAGTGATAAAACAATCCCAAGCACAATGTAGTGCATCATTAAAAATCAACAACAAGCAGAAAAGTAAGCTGGAAAAATCAACGCCTTAGTATACATGAGTAGAAATAAGGGACATTCGTAATTCAACAAGCTGTGAATTGAAACCACACAATGAATTATTGCAACAAGTATATCATGTAGTACATAAAAACAAAGATGGATGCCAGGAATAATGACAACATAGGATTGACTATTTGTAATATACAATATGTAGAGAATAGAAGAAAACACAAAGATGAAAATTACCAGATTATAGAATGATATACAGAGTAAGAAATCAACAAAATTGAAGACGAACAGAGGAACCACTAAGAACAATAAAACAATGACCAAAATGAACATCAATTATAACCTGTTCAATTACAACAGATTGACAACGAGATAAGAGCTTTGAGTTCAGATATGATATACAACTTTACAATTATGATGAACAACTTTATGCAGCAGGAAGAGAGGATGACAACCAGAACCACATGAAAAAAATCAAGGAAACTCCACCGCAAAGACCTGTGAAAATAATTAAAAGATGCAACTCCACCCAGGAATCCACTACATAAGAAGGCACATTGCAGTGATGTACTACGCCAATCACCTAAGATAAACACAGATGTCCATGATTCAACGTCAACGAATGCATCTTTCAAAACAAATGTATCTTGTAGCAAAAAACAACAGCATTATTGAGAAAAGGTGGTAGGAAGAAGATAACTCTAACAATTAACAGTCATTATGCATTATAAGCCAGATCAGTAACAAACCGAATCCCAATTGTAAAGGACAGCAACAAGAATCGCCAAAATACTGTCACATCAGATACCAAAACCACCAACTAAACAACAACAATGAAGACACAGCATGTCTGAGAGACAACTACATGCCACAATTAGAAACAGTAGATGGGAAAAACAAAGGGAACATGAAATATGGCTCATATATATCAAAACACTAGAACAAATAGCAGAAGGGCATGAAGTTCATCTGGTGGTATCAGCATATTTAATAGGAATAACATAAAGGATGAAATCAATGTCATCCAAACTACAAGTAAACTTACTCAACTAAAGAATGACTTCTTCAGCATCGATGAAGATATATGCAATTCACATATTCCACAAATACACTTTAGTTATTACAAAGACATTGATCCATATGAAGAAATACTGTAGTAAAGGACAGGTGATCAAGCAAGGTGCAGGGACCCTTAATCTTGAAGACACTATTAATCTATGAGAAACAAACAAACTGAAAATCTTGAATGGAACATTTCAAAATGCGCAATGCAAGCACACACATACACAGTGATTTCACGAAAGGCAAACTCAATGTGCAGGTAAAAGTTATTGAAAACATGTGCAGTTTTGAGTGAAATATCAATGAGCCACTGCATTCTCCACGAATTTTGTAACTTGCTATGACGACGCTAAAGGAAAACAATCCGTAGTTACTTTCAACATTTTGCGGGGGGGGGGGGTGTCTCAAATTTTCGATTATTTTTTCAGCTCGCAACGAAAGAATCAGTCAATTTGGAACTACTATGTTGGCATTCGGAAAGCTTTTTGGCACAGTTTTACTTAGAAGACGAGTTTTTCATTGCCCGTGAGTATTAATTAATTCAAATGAGACGTTTTTTCAGACATTCGTGCCATGCACGCCCCCCTGCCACGGCATTGCTGATTAATTTGGGTTCAATTAATTTCAAACCGTCGAACTGTGGTGCTTGTTACTTTGACTTACCGAAGAAAGTATCAAATCCTTTTTCAGTTAAAAGACATTCTTTTTTATACATTCCCAAATGCCATTTGCCTACTATATGAGTGGCGTAACCAGATTCTTTTAGCTTCTGTGGTATGGTTACCTCATTGATTGGCAAACAGCTAGGCTGACAATACCAGATTATGCCGTGTTGTAAACCTGTGTGAATCTAATCAGCAATATATTACATCATTTCGATATTTCAATATACATTGTGATCAGTGTTAGTTTTATCAATTCATGAAATTGCATTATACTTATGTTATTACATTGAACTTTCTGTTCCTACAACCTGTTGCATCCGCATTAACATACAGTTTAGAAATAATGCAATATAAACTTAAAATTGGTAGTTGGAAAATCCACGAAAAAAATGCATGGATGCTGATTTTGTATCAGCAGTTGCAAGTTTTGATATTTTGTGTGTTCAGAAAACCTGGTTAGGTAACAGTAGTAATTTTGTGTTAGATATAGATTATTTTTGTAGTTTTAGATCTGACAGAATTAGAAAATCACCCAAGAGTAGAAGAGATTCAGGGAGGTTGCAATTTTGTTTAAAAATAAATTTAAAAAGGGGTTATCGAAAATTAATTCTGAAAATAATGACTTTCTATGGTGCAAGCTGGACAAGAACTTTTCCTTAGAACAAGATATTTCTTTAGCTTGTATTTACATTCCACCAGAAAATTCTGTTTACCACTATAACAAAGATTATTTCAGTATTTTGGAAAAAGAAATTGTTAGGTTCTCTTATCAGGGTGACGTGATCATTCATGGGAGATTTTAATAGTAGAATTGAGAATATTGTTGATTTTATTGTTGATGATGTGCCAACCCCCCAAAACTACGTTGCAGATAATTTTAATAGAAGATACACTTTAGATAAAAACACTAACAAATTTGGTAACCATCTTGTAAATCTGTGTGTAAGCAATGACTTGATAATTGTTAATAGCAGAGTAATTGGCGATTTATTAGGAAATTTTACATATCATCACCTGG